GGGCCTGGCAGCCCCTCCCCTGCTGCCCCTGGCACAGTGCCCGCCCGCGCCTCAGGTTTCTCAGGCCGCCAGAGGGGGTGGGGAAGCCTGGCTGGGCTTCGGGGCTGGGCAGGCGGCTTCCCTCTCTGGGCCCTGCTTCCTCCAGGCTCCTTCCCAAATGCAAACAGGACGAGGAGGGCCGGAGTCCCCTACTCCTGGCCCCCCCATCACCCTCACTGGGAAGCCACGCAGCCACGCAGCAGGCTCTCCCGCCCCCTCCAACACCCGCAGCGGCCTTCACCTCTGCTCCCTACACGTGGAGCCATTCCAGCCCCAGGGCCTTTGCACTGGCTGTGCCTCCCCCTGCCTGGCACACTCTCACTCAAAACCCTATGTGGCTCCCTCACTTCCTTCAGGCCTTGTCTCTAGTCATTTCAGACAGGCCCTCCCAGTACAGAGTGCCCTCCTGCTGCCTCTTTCCACACCCCTCACTGTCATTAGGTTTCTATTAATTTAACAGAACTGTCAGCTCCACCACCACTCCTCTCTACCCCCAGCAAAGTGTACAGATTTTGTGGGCAGCCCCAATGTCCCAGGGTGGAACTTATGCCACTCCCTCATCATGGTCCCCCAGCTGTCCCTTAGGCAGCCCAGAGGCACTCACTGAGTCCACCCTGGAATCAGGCCCCTGTGTCCAAAATGGTGCCAGATGGATGCCTGGGGCAGCCAAGTTTGGCCCCAGGAGGTACCCTGGGCTCTGACCAGCCTAGGATCCCTAACGCTAAAAGGACCTTCTCATGCCTTGTCCCCACCTCTCTGTCTTCCAAAATAAACCAGAGGATAGAGGCCTAGGACTCCCCTTCGGGGTGTGGCCTCCTCAGTCCACCTGACACCCTCTGGGAGAGATGTGGAGGCTGTGCGGGAGGGGAGCCAGGCCTTGTCTCTTTGTCCAAGGACAGAGAATGCATGTATGGTCTTGTGGGTTTCTCTGTGTCTCTCCATGTCTCTGGGACCTTCTGTCTCTCCATGTCTCTCTCGCTGTCATTCTGTGGGCTCCAAGGTCCCATTTCTGACCCTGGAGATGGTACCTCCTTTCAGTCATATCAGCTGCCCGTCCCAACATCCACCCTGTGGCCAACCGAGGCCCGCCTCTCCCACGCCCACCAATCCCACAGCCTCCCAGCAGGGCCGATTTGAGTGGACACTGCACTCCGGCCTTGGCCTGGACTCCTTCCAGCCCTGGGACCCACGAGGGGAGACGAGGGAGGAGGTGGCCAGCTCTCTCTGCAGTCAGACCACTGTCTGGCTGATAGCAGACAGAACTCTGGTCCAGACGAGGACAGGGTATCCTTGGGTGGAAGCTGGGGACATGAGGCTCAGTAGGGGGCTCCCAGAGGGTGGCCTCAGCCCAGGGACCCTGGATACGGCCTTGGTGGGTGGGATCCTAGCACACAGCCTGGACGTGGCCATGCCACGTGGACTGGACACCCACCTTGTACACTGCGTTTTACCTCCATCCCCTTCTGCCACCAAGCGTGGAAGGTTAGCAGGGGTGTCAGCAAAAGAAGCTGCCTATGTGCAAATCCTACCTCTGCCCGCTCTTAGCTGTGTGACCTTGGGCAGGGCAGCTACCTTCTTTGGGTTTCTGTTTCCTCATCTGTAAAATGGGTACAACAATGATTCCTGCCTTGCAGGGTTGCTGCAAGAATGGAAAACTGCTGAGCCCTCAGAAAAAAATGGCAGAAATAGAGAAAGTGAAGCAAGGAGTTGAGGTTTTGAAGCATAAGTAGAAGTTTTCTGTATGGGACAGGCACTCCAGGCAGAGGGAACAGCATGGACACAGGCTTCGCGGTGGGAAATTGTAACTCTAATGAGAATGATAATGTTAATAATAACAGTCCACAGAGCTCTAGCCCCATGCTTGGTACCTGTCTTCATGATTCCATGGGGTAATTTGTTGAACTTGTACTGTGACAACCCAATGTTCCTATCAGGTAGCTATTTGTGAGCATCCCATTTTAAAGACAAGGAAAACAGACACAGAGAGATTAAGCGACTTGTTTCGGCACACCCAGCGGACAGGCGGGTGGCTGGGCTGGAGCTGAGTTCCAGGCCCAGACCTCACACCAGACCCTCGCTCCCAGCCAGCTGAAGCTGGGTCAGCTGGGGCCGGTTTGCGCAGAGATCCCCTGGGATGATGGAGCCAGCTGGAAGCAGGGGACGGTACAGCCTTGACCTTCCCGGGGCCCTCACGCGAGGAGGCTGACCAGACTGGCCAGCAAAGGCCTGGCAGTCGGACGTGAAGGTGTCTGGGGAGGCCTGGAGGCCTGGCCTGCCTGCTGAGCGGAGGGGGGAGGGGGCCGCTGGGGGAGGGGAGGCGCCCGAGATTGTGCTGACGCAGGCAGAAAACTCGCTTCAAAATTTTATCAGCTCAGCATGGAGGAGGTGGGGGCAGGGCCAGGCGCAGAGGATGGATGTGGTGGGAGAGACCTGGACCTGCATGGTAATGAGCCCTGCGGCCCCCAAGGCCGCCCCTGCCCCCTACCCCACGCCCACAGCACAGTCACCTTATCCACCCCTCTGCCTCTGGCCCCACTGTGTTTGGTGCTAATTGGGGGTCAGGGTGGGCGCAGTTGGGGTCAAGGTCAAGGAATCAAGGTCAAGACTGGGAAACTCAGTCCCCGCTCTCCCTCCCGCACACCACGCAGACCAGGAGACCTCATGTAATCCTTCCGTCATCACTAGGAATTGGCACGGTTGTTACCCCTACTGTACAGAGGAGGAAACTGAGGCACAGGACAAGGATGTGTCCACAGTCACACAGCCAGTAAACGGCGGGGCTGTGCTCAGAACTGGGGTGGTTCGGCCCTTGAGCCCCCCTCTTCTCACCACCCCTCCACCAGGCTTCCTCCATCATTTCTGGTTAATGTGGGGTCTATGGGGGCTGGGACAGGATTTGCAACTCACGTGCAGCCACCTGACACACTCAGCAGCCCTGGGTGGGTGCAGGCTCACGCCCATGTATGTACCAGACTCAGCGTGGAGAGGCGCGGTGGGGCCTGTGACGTGTGCCTGTTAGGTCCTCCAGGCGCACCCAGTACCACATGAACACAGTCACAGCTGACACCCGCCACATGGCAGGCCAGGGCTCAACACGCCGCACACACGATCTCAGCCAATCTCCTGAGGCCTGATCAAGGTAGGGGCTCCGACACCTCCACTGACCACACAACCAGAGAGCAGCAGAGCGACGCACCCACTGCCCCCCCAGCCAGGCCCTGCCCTGGGCCACTGGGGCTGCTGACATTCAGGGCTGGGCCGCCCAGCAGTCCCCACATCTCTGCCCAGGCTCTGATCACCTGGGATATCCTCATGCTCATCACTGCCCAGTCATCCTGCAGAGCTCAGCTCAGTGGAGCCTCCTCCTCCCGGAAGCTGCCACGGAATTCCCCATCCTCAGGAACCCACTGGTCTCCATGTGGGCCATGTGACCACCGAGCCAGCAAACACCCAGCTAGAAGCACACGCAGAGTGGGGGACACTGATGACCAGAGAGGGTGGTAACCTAGCCAAAGTCACACACAGAGCCCCAGCTTTCCACTTGGCACAAACATGGGACCTGTTGGGTCTCTGGGGGAGGTCTCAGAGCAAGTCGGCCAGCCTTCACAGTGCGCAACCCCAACACTCTTTCAGCTTTCCCCAGAGGGATACTGTCCCTCTCCCATGGGTCACGCGCCTATCCACACCCCTGTTCCCAAGAGACCCTCTGGGACTGGGTCTCATAACCTGAGGCCTGCCAGCCCCCTCAGACATCAAGGTCAGAGCCGGCCCCTACCTCCAGACCCCCAGGACGCCCCTGCCACATCCTCCCCACAAGACTCTCTTTGGACCGACCAGATCTCTTTCCCTTAGACCCTCTCGCGGCATGCACCTGCCCCCTCGGGCCTCCGTGTAGGCCCACTTCCCCCGGACCTGCACCTGCACCTGCACCTGCCTCCCCCCTCGGTAGACCTTCTCCCTCCTCGGACCTCTCCCGGGTCGGCTCCCTCCTCAGACTGCGTGCGCCTGCCTCCTCCCTCAGACCTGCGGGGCCCGCCTTGCCCGTCTATGCCGGGCCGGCGCCTCCCCTCTCCGCCTGCAGACCCGCGGCCGTGCGCCCTCACCTCGCTCGCGCACGAAGTAGGCCAGGTAGAGGTCGAGCTCCTTGACCGCCACGCCGATGTGGTGTGGCTGCACGCAGAGCACCGGGTGGCCGCACTGCGCAGCCTTGACCAGGCGCTCCCCGTCGGTGCTCTCCAGCGGGATGCCCTTGAAAAGGATGACCATGACCAGGTCCAGCCGCCACACCTTGTCGGCCTGGCGCAGGCAGTCGATGCGGCGCATCTTGCCCTTCTGGTCGGGGTTGGAGAGCACGCAGCCCGGCGCCTTCTTGCCGGTGATGGCCAGCACGAAGTCCTCGCGGCACTCGGGCCGGATGTCCTTGCGCAGCTTGGCCAGCAGCCGCGACGCCCACTTCTGCTTGACCTCAGCCTTCTCGCCCAGCAGCTCGTCCTTCACTGCGCGCTCCTCGTCCTTCGACATCCGCTTCTCGTGCTTCTTGAAGTACTTGCGCTTCCGCGCCTGCAGGTTGAACCAGGTGTAGGCAAAGGCGCGGACATGAGGCAGCAGCGCCTCGATGAACGGGTGGAATTCATCCTGTGGAGAGGGGGAGAGGCCAGAGGTCAGGAAGCGCTGCGGCCCCGTGAACCCACTGCCCGGCCAGGAAGATTGAGGTGGGAGGGGCCCCAGGCAGAGCCACTAGAGGGAGGGCAGGGCAGAGGTATCCAGGCGGCCACTGCAGATCCCTCTACCTCCTGGGGACAACTGAAGGCCAGAGGGGACCCAGCAGAAGTTCACTGGGTCTGAAAACAACCTATTTCACAGATGGGGAAACTGAGGCTTGGACTATGTTGAAGACACAGGCCAAGGCAGACGTTTGTGGAGGACTGTCTTGAACCCCCATATACAGGTAGGACAAGCTGAGGGTCCCAAGTGGAGGCTGATGGGGGACACATTGAACAGATGGGGAATATGAGTCAGTAGAATGGTGGTGTTTTGGACCCATTCTCTGCCTTCTAGAATGGGGGTCAGAAAACTTCAAAAGCACCTTAAAAAAGATAGTGAGCATTTCAGTCTCTGTTGCAACAGGTCCCCTCTGCCTGTAGGGCAAGATTGGCCACAGAGGAGGTGTAAGTGACCAGCACAACAGTGTCTCAATAAAGTTTTATTTATAAAGACAGCCGATGGCCAGTGGGCCCTGGGGCTGTAGTCTGCAAACCCCTGAACCAGAGTGTGAGCCCGAATGGCTAGGGCAAGGCTGAGCACACTCTGGGTGCTCAAGGATTATGGGCGACACCAGGCTCAGCACATGCCCCTGGGGCTTGTTTCTCAGACCCACTGCTCAGCAGAGGGAGCTGACGCCAGATGAGGGTCAGAGGGCTGCCTCTGCTGGCTCCTGGAGATGATGGAAAAATGAGGACAAGATGTCACTCCTACCCAGGTGTACAGACAGGATGGCTGAGGTCCACAGGCCAAGACGGGGCCACCTGGGTATCAGGAGCTGATGGAAGCTGGGGTGGGGTGCAGTTCCTGCATAGACCAATTGCAGGGGCTGGGAAAGCTGAGGCCCATGGAGGCAAGAGATCAGAATGCAGTAGAGAAAGTGGTGCTCGGCCCTGGAGGTTCAGAGCTGAAGACAGAAGGGTTCCTGGGGGTTGGTTCACCCTAGCCTGCCCCCGACAGACCCATTCCACCGATGAAAATATCAAGGCTCATGGAGGCTCTGAGACCTGGCCACAGCTGAGACTTCAACATTCCCCTCCCTTTGCCTGGTGGGTGTTGCTGGGTGACCATGACACCTACTCTGCAGATGAAGAAACGACGACCCCAAGAGAAGACCCCGTCATGAGGGGCAGGGCTGGGACTGGAACCCACGTCCATCTGACTTCCCCACGAAAAGCAGCCCCAGTTGGGCCCCTCAAGGAACAACGTGGGGCCATGGGAGGGCTTTCTGACTCTCGCCAGTTTTCAGCAAGAGAAATTGAGTCTGCAGAACATCCTGGACCTGGTTTCTCAGCCTCCAGGGGTGAAAATTCAAAGAGAAAGGAAGGCAGAGAAGAACTTCCACCTCACTCCCTGCTCTTGCCTGGGGGAACTGCTGGGCTTCTGGAATGGGGGTGATGCCTTTTCCTAGCCCTGGGGTGCTGGGGGTGGGGGACGACCTCAGATTTCTCCTATTACTGAGGCTCTGAAAATAGCCTGCCCTCGCAGGGTGGGGCGGGGCCGGGGCACGGCTTGTCCCAGCCCAGCTCCCCCACGCCAATGTCCCCCGACGTGTGAGTCACCGTGACAGCTGTGGCAGGGACTGGACCTCAGGGCCCTTTTTTGCTGCCGCTGACCCCAGCCCAGGTTGATCTGCTGAGGCAGAGGGAGGGTGGAGGGGCGCTGCCCACCCTCGGGGGCTTCTCCAGGGATGGGGAACCACCTGCCGTCACACAGCCAGTCAACAGAGCCAGGACCAGAGCCCAGGCCATCCTACTGCAGAGGCTAGCAGTGGGTAACTGATAGCAGGACAGGGTGCTGCCCCTGGTGGAGGGGACGCCAGGGTGGCAGGAGACCTGGGCAATGGCTGCCACTGGAGGCCTGGAGCTTCTTGGAGCCATGATAAGAGGGAGCTGGGAAGGGCGGTTGGGTGTCATCCGGCGGGCCTTCTTGAATGCGGGGTGCTATCTCTTCCTAGCAAACGAGCCCCATTATCTGCCCAGCTCACAAAAACCTGTCTTAGCTATTATTACTGCTGTTGTGATTATTTGGGGCCCAAACTCTTCCTCTCCTTGAACCCTGTCTCTGAGCCCCCTCCCCTTTTCTGAGTCCCTTTTGTCTTCCAGCTCCTCCCCCTTCCAAGCCCCCATGCCTCTCTCTTATCCCTACCTGCCCCCGGGCCCTCTCTGGGGAAAGGTGCCAGGGAGGCGGGCAGGGGTGGGTTCCCACGTCACTGGTGACCCAAGCTAGTCCTGGGGAAAGGAAGACAAACAGCCTGTAACTGGGTCATGGACCTGCTGCCCTAGCCTCTCACGTCCTCCCCAGGAGGTCAGGCCAGGTGAGAGGCAGGTCTATCACTCTCTGCCCCACAAGACCTGTGATGACCAAGGCCTCTTCCCCAAGCACCTCCCAAAGCCTCACTGGTGGACAGGGCAAGGCAGACAGCCAAGGCAAGCTAGATGCCAAGAATTTCCCTGAACTCCTACACATCCCTCAAAGCCCTGTCTCCAGTGTGCCTTTCGTCAGGCAGCTTTCCTGCTCTCCTCAGGGTTCTCCCAGACTAGCCTGGACCACACAACTAGGGGTCTCTGAGTCCAGTTCACTCACTCTCCCCTTAGCCTGAGGCCCAGGGCTGAGGCACTTATTGCCAGGCAGACTTGTGGAGGGAATGAGGTTGGGTGACAACGGTCTCCATTTTCACTTCCTGTATGATCTAGGAACAAACTGATACTCCACTTTGGGCCTCAGTTTCTCATTCTGTACAATGGGCAGAAAGGGACATTGCACCCTGCTAGGGGTTGGTGGAGAGCTTATCCGTTGCCCTGGTCATCAGAGATGCAAGGTGAGGGCAGGGAGCAAGACCAGGCCTTTCTCAGAAACTCCACTTGGCCCACTGGGACTTCCTGGCCAAAGAGGGCAGCAGCAGCTGGGAGGTAGACAACTGGGTCCAAGCCTTTGCTGGGCACTATGAACTGGTCAACTGTGCGCTGGGTTGTGCCCTTCTCTGGGCCTCCTTGTGGCCCTCCCACTCTGACAGTCCGCAGAAGCAAACCAGGACATGAAACTCCAATTCCCTTACCAAAAGTTTTCCACAAAGGATTCTCTCTCCTTCATTCACTCAGTGATCTAACAAATGTTACTGAGAGTCTCTTATCCACCTCCTAAGTGTTTATCCTCAACTCCTATGCATCCTTCAAAGCCCTGGTCCCCTCCTCCAGGTTAAGCCCAGGTTAAGTGTCAATCGGCAGAGCTCTTATTCAAACACAAACCCTTCTTGTGCCAGACTAAGTGTTCCTGACCTAGAAAGACTCCTCCCCCCAAGCTCAGCATCACAGCTTATGAACAGCTCTTATCTAATGAGGGGGAGATTCATTTGGTTCAAAAAACATTTACTAAGTGTCTACTCTGTGCCAGCTCCATGCATGATGATGGGAACCCGACAATGTCCTGGGCTCGGCCCTCACCCGGATCCTGATGTGGGCAGGGATGGATGTTAACCAAGCTAAAAAAATATGTAATAAAATGTCAGGCTGAACAAAGTGCTCTGAAGAAATTTAAAGGAGCTTGAGGAGGGGGCCGGGGAGTCCCCTGGGGGTTGTTTTTAGCTGAAGGTAGTCAGGGAGGGTCTCCCATAGGAGAGGACACTTGAACAAAGAGCTGAAAAATGACAACCCACAGCAGGAGCTTCCCAGGTGAAGAACAAAGCACATGCAAAGGTCCTGAGGCAAGACCACACTTAATGTTTGGAGAGAACAGTGAGGAGGCTGGCGAGGCTTGAGCAGAGTGAACAATAAGCAAAGTGGAGGTGGTGAGGGCAGGGAGGTGACAGGGGCTGGCCGTGCAGAGCCTTGAGGGCCACTGGGAAGAGTCTGGACAAGCTAAGTCCAGGGAGTAGAAAGTTCCCACCAAAGCGACCAGTGAGTCTAAGCCTTAGATCTCTTGAGCGCCCCTCTGTGCCTTGGTGTCCTGGGAGAAGGATGGGGGCAGAGCTAGAAACCCAGGGTGTGGGAGAGAGACAGGGAGTGAGGTTGTGCTATTTAGAGGCTGAACATTTACTGAGCTCTCAACTCTATGAAATGGGAACACCTGTTTTGCCCACTGTCCAGAGGGAGAGACTAAGGCCCTGAGCACTGAGGCCACCAGCCCAAAGTCACGCAGCCAGGAAGGAGCTGGGACTTGAACCTGGGTCCCTATGAACTTGAACCTCCTGACTCCTCAGTCCCACTGCCAGCCCTCCCGCCCCCGAGCACGTGGTCTGGCCCCATCCTCGGGACTCACCAGCAGTGCCAGTTTTGCACCCGGCATGCTCTGTCTCTGAATCCCGTGTGGCCCCCTTCCCCTGCTGAGCCCCAGGACATGTGCCACCTCCTCCTCAGGGAGCCAAAGCGGCAGCTGGGTCCCGCCATCCCCTCACCTAGACTGCAGCTCCTCAGGGGCACGGCTTTGATCTGTTTCATTCCGTGCTTCGTCCCCAGCATCCAGATCAGGAAAGGCGCAATCCCATCCTCTGCCTGGTACCTATTCACACACCCTGATGGACAAAGGACGCTGGTACCCACGTGGGTCTGGCCAAACTCAGGGAAACCCTGGACAAGGCTAGGCAGAGGGGAAAGGCCAACAGACACCCACTGGGGGGTGGGTCAGGGCTCAAGGTTTTGGGGAGTCACCGCTGTTCCTATCACCTGGCCCAGGGCCGGGTCCGCACTGAGCCGACAGGAAAGGAGGGCAAGTTGGAAAATGCCTATGGGATGTCCAGTCCAATGATTAGCTTAGCGACGACCACAATCACAGCTGCACTTATTTGGCACCCACTGTATATGAGGCACAGTGCTAAGGGTAAAGCATCCGAGGAAGACATGATTACGTTCCCCATTTTATGTGGGGAGAGACTCAAGTTCCTCCTCTCCACTGGCAAAACCATTCACTCATTCACACAACAAATATTTATGAGCTCCTACTGCGTGCCGGGCAATGTCCCGCCTCCTGGAGTCCTCAGGCAGCCCCAGGAGTTGAGAATTACCGTTAACTTCATTTCTCAGTGAGGCCACGGGGCGCAGAAGGGCCAGGTCTCTCGCCCAGAGTCACACAGCCACCTGGGCAAGGTCTAAGGCCGCCCTGGGTCTCTGCTTAGGTGACCCCTGTCAGGGCACGCGGGTGTGTGCGTCTGTGTGCTCGCACGTGTGGGAGCATGTGCTTTGGGTACCCAGGCCAGGAGGCAGTGCACGCGTGTGCAGGCGGCTGTGAACACGTGCGTTCGTGGGGCAGGAGGCCCCAGGACATTTGGTGTGCCCCATCCACTTGGTGTGAGACAGAGAGGTAGGCGGCTCAGGCAGAGAGAGAGAGAGACACTGGAGAGAGAGAGACAAGAGGGAGAACGCTGACTCGGCCAGAATCCCAGCTTCGTGATTTACAAGGCGCCCGACCCTGACGCTGAGGCACCTCCACCGCAGAGAAGGGGTGGAGGGGAGAGACACAGACACGGAGATGGAGAGAGACATGGAGGGTGGCTGTGCCTTTTACAGGAGCCAATCAAAGGCCATCAGACCACGCGTGGGGGGCCTCACAGGGAGCACCCATCTGCTCAGTCCTCGCCAAACAGCAAGGTGGGCGGTAGCCCTGAACCCCAGCCTCACTGGCCATGCTGTGCCATCCTGGGCAGGTCATGGCCTTCTCTGGTCTTGGCCTTTCTCCCAGCCCTGAGGTGCTGGGGGTCCCCCAATCCCAGCAGAGCCTCCAGGAACCCATACCAGGCTGACCCCTCAATGTCTTCTCCCCTCCGTGCCCAGGCTCATAGGAGGGGCTCAATGAAGATCTACTACATTAAATCAATCCAAAGTCAGGGACTCTCTCCCAGCCTCAATTTCCCCACTGGAGAAGCAGTAATAAAAAGAGTGCCGCCCCTCGAAGGAACAGGGTGAAGGAATGAAGGAAAGAATGAATGAATGAAGGAGGGGGCCCTGGCAGCCGGCGCTGCCGTGGCCTCAGCCCAGGCCCAGCCTGCGGCCCCGGGGAATCCTGGGCACTGCAGCCAAGAGGGATTTGGCCCCAAACCCGGAATAACTAACGTGGCGGTGGAGGCGGGCGGGAGGGAGGCAGGAAGGGAGGCCCAGAGTGGGGCGAGCTCAGGGAGGAGGCTGGCCTTCCCGCCGGCAGGATTTATGGAAGTAACGGCTGCTCCACAGTTCCTCTTAAGAGTAAAAGTGAAAAGCACTTGAGTCACCACTGAAACAGGGACGGGGCTCCCAGAATCCTCCAGGGCCGCCCGGGCCGCGGCTGCCCCCCCTCCTCGGTGGGCAGGACCGGGGCACAGGGCGGGCGGGCACCTGAGCAGCCCAGCAACCCCTCCACCCCCACGCACCCCCTAGCCGGTCTGGTCTCCGCTCAGAGAAGGATCCGGGTCGGATCAGCTAAAAGGGAGCTATTTTAGGATGGGCTTGGGTTGTAAAATTAGTCAGTAAAGGGGGGGAGATGGAGGCCCAGAGACCGAGAGACAGGGAGAGACTGGCAGGTGAGGAGAGACACAGAGACAAAGAGAGGGAAAAGAGACAGAGAGAGAGATGGAGAGAAAGGGAGGGAGAGAGAACAGACACAGGAAGAGAGAGAGGCAGGGAGACACAGAGATGCAGACAGTCAGAGAGCGATGCGATGCATAGGGCGTGATTAGGCAGCCAGGAGTGGAGGGGGATCTTGCAGGGGCACCTGGGTCCCCCAGCTAGAGACCCCAGATCTCGGGGTGGGCCTGCAAGGAGTTCGGGGCTTACACTGAGGCTGCTGGGGGAGTCTTACAGGTGGTCCCTCTCCAGGGCTTGGGGCACCCATGGGAAAATAAACAGAGAAGGGGAGCCCCCTGCCTTTGGGCCACTCCATCCCCACCCTAGCCTGGGAGCTCCCTGGTCCTCTCTCTGTCTGTCTGTCTCCCTGTCACCCTGTCTCTCGCACACAGCAACCCTAGGTATTTTGTATTGTCATATTTCCACCGACAGCCAGCCTGGTTTTCCACCTGGGAAAGCCAGGCCCAGGAGCACAGCGCCAGCTCTGGTTCTCACCACCACCCACTCTGGGCAGCGTGGACGGGATGGAGGCCTGTCTCCGGAGGAGTCCTGTGGGGGAATTCCAGGGCGCAGGGACAACAGGCGGCCATCCAACCTCCTCGCCTGCAATAGCCTCCCCGGGCTCAGCCCCCCAGGCAGCTCTGGGAGCTAGTGAGCGCGGGAAGAGCGGAGGGGGCGGGGGCACCCCGGGGGGGCCACGCAGGCCAGCCCCAGGCCCAGAGGCTGGGAGGCCCAAGGTCACAGGGCAACCCCAATCAGGACCCTACTTGTTCTGGGGGAGCTTCAGGGCGACCTAGAAGAAGAGGTGGGCTAGAGATGACCACTTCAGAGGACCCCCAAAGTTGTTCTGAATGGGAAGGGAGATCTGGAGAGGGGCAGGGATGCGCAAGGTCACCCAGGGGATCATGGGTAGGACAAGCCCAAGACCCCCTTGGCACCAGCCCTCAATTTCCCTGTGGGGGGCCAGGAGCCGGAGGGGGCCAGGAAGAAAGAGCCTGTGAATGACGGGCACCCCAGGGCCATGAGTGGGAGGAACCCTCAGCAGAGACTGGCATCCACGTGCACCCCATACAGTGCTCCCCAGGGCACTCAAGCTCTGGCGACTCCCACCTCCCAGCGCCCTGCACTTTACAGCTTGGAGGCCACGCAGACCCTCTCTCCACAACCTGCCTTAGCCCCATGTCAGCTGGGGGTGGGGTGGGGAAACGGAGGCCAGCCGGGACCCCAAGGACCTAAAGACACACAAGGACGTAGTGTGGAGGCCGAGCTGGAAAGTAGAAGTAGCCAATCTGGGGGTTCCCAGCGGGTGCTGGGGGAGGGGTCCCCTGAGGTGCGGCCCCTTCCCCACACACCCTCTTAGTCCTTGCAC